AGAGGGGTGGCTTTTTTTTCCTAAAAAAAAAAAAAAAAAAAAAAAAAAAAAATCAGCTCCAATCCTCTACCTGCCGGAGTAGACTACCCGTCTTTGTGTTGACCCAGAGGATTTTGTTAGCGGATGTCGCTACCAACAAATGCTCAGGGGACGCTGAGGAGAAGCAGACCTTCAGCGCAGAATCCAGAAAGGTGCTCTCCGAATCCAAAATACTCACATCGAGACGGAGCAACTAAAGAAAGAAACAGAAGGGAACAACATGTCCTTTAGCGTTGCCCGCACTGCTTCAATTCAACTATTTTTATTTCAGATCCTTAATCTAGTCATTCCTAACCACTGCACGGAGAAATTCCCCACTAATTGGTCAGGAAGGCTGACACGATGTCACGAAATGTAACCGCCGTTGTGATCTATTTTTTTCCGTTTCAATTCAATGGACACCGTACTGCCCGTTCAAGTGGGCGCGCTTTGGCAGTTGGGTGTGGAAAAATGGAAGACGCATGAATGTGTGTGTTTTCACGGCATGGGCGGGAGGCAAAAGGGTACCTCTTCAAGCGATAGTGCATCGGCAATGGTAATGGTATACTCCGAGGGCCCAACGAAAGCCAAACAGCGGCTGTTGCTGCTCACTGTAAGAGCATCTGGAGCACGCCCGGTGCCTCGGGCCACCACACCACCTAGTCACAGAGTCACGCCGTGAGCTGACTGCACCTGGGATTGGCCGTCGAGTCAAAATTAATCTTCGCCCACGAGCGGTTCACTTGACGCTTAATTTGTGCACCGGCATAAGCGTGTACTACGCACAGACAACTCGGATCACGTGGCTGTCATTGTCGCAGGAGTTGTAGAGTGCGAGGGAGCCCTCGGAGGCAGCGCTGTACATGCAGTCTCCATCGGGAGAGAAGACAAGACCCACCACTTCACCTCGGTGATGACTGCCATGTGGGGATGGAGACAAACACGCAGAGGGAAGAGACGCTCACTTTTATTTGAAGGTCGCAGCCGTCGGCCCGGCAGGAACGGCGCAGACATACTTGTGCTCAGCCAAGAGCTTGCCGCAGGAGATATCGAAGACTCGGACGATGCCTGAGCTGAATCCACAAGAGAAGATCTGCTCGCTTGGATGAAAGGCAACTGAACACGGCTTATCCTCTGACACAAAGTCATACAGCTGTGAAAAACAAAAAAAAATATTGGGGGCATTATTAGAGTGAGTTTTTTTTTTATTTTTTTTGCAAGAGCCAGCTCACCGTGGGACTTAGCTCAGAATCAAAGTCAAAACATCTCAACAATCGTAGCTCACTTTTCATGGAAACAAACACATTTATGTTGGTGGCCTGAAAATGTCACCGACCGACCTGATGCGAGGAGTCCATCGACCAAATGCGCACGGAGCCGTCAGCAGAGGCGGTCGTGAGGTGCCGGCGAACCCCGTCTACACTGAAACCGAGCACGGTGCCCGTGTGCGACCTCATCAGCGTGCTGTAACCCCGGCTGCTCACGTCAAGGAATCCCAGGTTGCGGGTGAAGGTGGCGGTCAGGACGCGCATGCTGTCTGATGACACAGATACCAGGCTCACGGGACCCTCGTGTTCTGAGAAAACCAGCAGGTCGGAACGTTTCAATTCAGGCCAAGTTTGTCGCTTGGAAATGATGCAAGAAAGGGCAATTGGCCAGGCGGCTGAACCTCTAAAATTTGGAGCATCAGGACAACATCGACTACACATATACTTCAAATGTAACAGACAGGCTGAATTTGTCCACGTTTCATGAAAATGCTCGATTTCCAGCTCACTGGTTGTGGAGAGCTGTGCAAGACGTTTGAGTTCTGGAGTGCATTCGAGCCTTCATGATTACATTATCAAATGGGGAATGGGCATGGCCTGATTTCTCCAAGTAAAGGTTACACCGCCCTGCATGGTCCCTACCGGCTTCCAGGAAGACGCCGGAAAAATCCAGAGGCCACAGCCGCAAGAAGCCATCTTCGGAGCCTGTGGCACAGAAGGTTGAGCACACACTGAGGCTGTTGATGGCGATACCTGGATCTGGGGAAAGCACACATTTACACTCACTTCCAGAAATTAAAACATTGATCTTAGTCTTACTGTTTTTGTACTTTCTACTGTCTCTGTTATTATTTTTTTGTATTGTTGTTGTATATATGATATTTGCTGCATGTACAGCAAATATTAAACAAAACTACATCCACTCTGTCAGCCGCCATGTTGTTAGTGCAAGTGGAGCACTTCGGGAAGGGGCCAAACCCACCTTTGTTGAGGGTCCACTTCTCCTGCTGCTCCCGCTGCACCGGAAACAACCATCTGACATTCCGAATGACAAGTCTGGTGTAGTCAATTTCAAAGATGTGGCCGCTCTTGCAGCTAGCAAACCTGCAAGCAAGAAAGCCAGAGAGCGGAAGACTCGTTGAAAGCGCACACGCTCCCGGACTGAAAGAGGAGCAGATCGCTCACTCACAGCAGCCTGTCATCAATATGCTGCTCGGGTGAGTCACCCTCCTGAAAGGACACGTCGGTGAAGTCCAATGGGCGATATTCACCCAGGTTGATTGGGCACGAGCGCAGCGTGCCTTTGCGTACTCGCCACAGACGAATGCTATCATGGCCGCATGACACCAGCCTGGAAGCAGAGCGCAGCACACAAACATGTATGGAGAGAGCCACTATTTAGGGGGCGGAACGGTGAAAAATCAAGGAGAGCACATGGAACGCACAAAACACTTCAATTTACGGAATAGAACTTTCACAATCCTAGGTTACAACCATTCACACTCGCATTAAGGACACTTAAGTGACGCTAACGTGTACCAACAGAGAAGAAGGGAGTGTACCTTGTCTCGTCAAAGTTTGCAATTTTGATTGTTTTGATATCCACATCCATTTTTGTCTTGGCAAACATGCTCACTTCCCCACCCCTGCCAACACCGGCCGTGTTCCATACGACCACCAACTATTAAACATAATAAAAAAGATCAATCAGCTGCAACTGAGCTCGGAGAAAAGCAATCATGCCATTTTTTTTAAAATCAAAATAAGTGCCAAACTGAGCTTTTGAAAGACTGTCAAGTATACGGTGGGTCATTATGCACCCGGGGTACTTGCCGTTTTACCGCGGCTGTCTTTGCCCACGCCGCACAGAATGCCGCCGCTGTATGAGAAGCTTTGAAAAGAAAAGTGCACAATTACCGCAAGCAAAGTGCTTGCCTCTACCGTGTTTAGCTTGGAATTACCTGAGCGTGGTGACCGAATGAGCATGCATCCTGAACATGGCCATGCAATTTCCTTTGAGGTAGTTCCATATTCGAATCACGCAGTAATTACCACTTTGTGCAGAGGCCAGCAATGTAGTGTTGCCATTGAAAGCCAGGGCAGACACCTGCCAGACAGACACACGCAAAGCTATCTTATTGATGTCAATACACCGCTTATCCTCACAAGTCACGGCTGAGCTGGCACTTAGCAAAGGCAACGTCCGATACGCCGGAGGAGGTGGCCTTTACCTTATCGGTGTGGCCGATGAAGAATCTCTGCTCGTTGGAGTCAATTTTCATAGAGACAACAATAGCGTGACACGGGTAGACCACGGAATCGCCCGACATGGTCCATAAGGCCTAAAAGAGAAGTGCACGCACATGATGAGCCAGGATGATGCGTCTTTCTATAGTACCGATTCTGTCACAATGAGTGGAGGAAAAAAAACAAAACAAAAAAAAAAATCACTGTTTAGATCTGACATATGGACTAAAGAAAACAGAGGACAGAAGTGGATACATTTGAAACAAAAAATGGGGTGCTGAAAATGCCCTACACATTTGGTAGTGGCTCCCCCAAAACCAATAATTCTCCTGAGCCGGAGAATCGGGTCTGGCAACAGCTTCTGCGACAAGAGAAGAAAGGCGAAAGTGTAAGGAGCTCTGCTTCGACCGCCTTTACTGTCGTGCGTGTTATCTTACCTGCACCTCTTCAGGACTGTCAGCAACCTGACAAGACGAAACGGTTTCAACTGTGGGCCATTGTAACAATGACATTTCTCACTTTTGACAAAGCTTCACCTTATCTTCGGGTTCCTCCGGTAGTTGACTGAGCTCGTCGTCCTCGTTCACAACCGGAAGCGGAGTGGAGGGTTGACTGGAGTGGCGACTGGAGGGTGGCGATTCCTGCTCAGGCTGCGGATCATCCGCCACCTCGGTGATGACTTCGGGCAGCTCGGGTATGACCACCTAACGCCAAAGCGGCCATTTTTGAATGGAAAAGACTGAACGCTCTGCACAAGCAGCAGACTCTTTTTTTTGTTGTTGATAATCATTCTTACTAATTCTGGGTCGGTGGGTTCGGCTTCTTCTTCTATGAGGGTGGGTTCGTTTGCTGGAAAACAGCCGACAGTGATCGCCAGTGCAGGTTCCGTTGCAAAACAAATGCATGCATTTCTACAAGTGCCTTTAGCTACTCACGCGTCTCCACGTTTAAGGGGCCTTTTCGTATGATACCGCAGTTTTGATCTCCTTCTACTGGAAACCTGGTAGGAGACACGTGAGACAATCATGCGCCTTTTGTTCATCGCTCTTTCGATGCCAGCGACGTGTAGTGAGAGGAGGAACAATGAAATCTTCTTCCACGAGAAGGTCCAATAGCCCTGTGTCATCCATTCATATGACACTTTGTATTCAACTAAACAGGCACAGGTTTTACAAGAACTTAATTTCTCAGTATTTTTTTTTTCTGTGAATATACTTTTGGTGACATTTTGTTTAAGTGGCATCTGTGAGACAGGTTACCGACTTTCGCTTGGGACATTAGCCGGCCACTCCCTGTCACATTCAAATCCCTATTAAAGCTGCTGGTTTGATTGTGGATAAATTCAGCCTTTCACAAAATGCTTTCCCCCCCTAAGGATATGTCACCTGATGTAATCGTAGCAACTTTGCCAGGTGCGTCCCTTGGGCGTAGGAAACATCATGTCTCTGGGCATGGGTCCAGTGCCATCAGAAGTGGGCAGACCCGTGAGCTTTGCTTTATGGTAGGAAACCTCTGTCGCAAGAGCAGAGAGGTGACATCAAGCATTGTGTTCCAATGTGAGCCCCCCCCGGCCCCAAAGTAGCACTGACGAAAAACTGCGGCCCGCCCCAGCATTTAAGCTGCCCTTCCCTGCTATTAATCATTCATTTGAACTTGATTCGTCGTTATTTTCGGTGATGAGGACGCTGGGAGTCTCACCAGGATTAAACTGCAGGTCACTGGTAAACAAGCTTTTAACAGACATCCAAGCGCACAGCTTGACGTTTTTAAGGTGACTGTAGTAGCGTTGGTTGAGGTAGGTGGCAAGCGTACATTGCAGATCCATCATCAGACAGGTCCAATGGACCTGAGGTTGTTCTGGAGGGCTGTTATCTAACCACGGGAACACAAGCTCTCAAAGCACTGTCGAAAACGACAACGTTGCTGGATGGCGGTCATGTTTTACGTTGTTGTTCCAACGTGGCTGTCTTTTCAGTGATACGGTCAAATTCAGGTCCGCACTGGTACGGGAAGAGAAGCGACGTGGTCGTAGATTTGAACTCTTTGAACATGTTGGAGATGGAGATGCGGACCACGCAGCCATCCTGTGTGCCACAACAGATAGAGAGGGAGGGACTTAGCTGGCAGTTCCTCGAGTAACTTTACCTAACGTCAGTCTCATCACCATCGTAAGTGTCTGGTGAGATCAACGTGCGGTGACAGTACCTGTGCTGTGACATCCAGGACAATCAAAAATGTTTTTCCTGGGCTGGGCTTGAAGAGGACGTAGAGATAGCGCCCTGTCAAACCCAGAGACTGGTGTGTGTTTTTAGGAAGCCGGATGCAACTGCCAGCCCCCCTGATCCGAAATACGATACTGTTGAGGGTCTTGTCCTAAGGTGGTTTCATGGGAAATACATACAGGTAGGAGTTAGTTGTTGGAAATTGAGAGAACATAATTGCCGTAGCGACGCTATATTTCAAAAACTAACAGTCGAAAAGCTATTCAGTTGTTCATTTTTCTAAAGACCCGTTCACCAAGACGTCACACGATACACACTTGGAAGTTTGAACAATGACACCATTACAAAAACCCATCACAGTAATTTACCGTGTAGGTTGACACATCTCCTTCTTTGGATGCCTTTTGCCACTCTGAAAGCCGGAACTCTTTGAATATGTTGACGAATGGATGCTGCCAATCATCTAGAAACACAAACTGGCGTCAATCGATTTAGACAGACATCAAGGTAGCCCTTCAGACATTGCTCCATTGTGTAACTGCCAAGCAAGTAAACGGCTGCCATTCAAAGGAGATTCGCCCGGGGTCATTCAACGCTTAAGGAATCAAAGGCTCAGAGTGTGGGGCTGTCATGACAGATAGCATATTCTCGAAAGTTCATTTCATAAGCAAATTTCGTACCTTTGGCGGCCATGGACGGGGAACAATTCCAAAGCACGCGTGGACTGAATGGTGCGGAATCGATGAGCCCAAGTCAGGACAACTCGCCCAATTGCCGTCATGTACGTTTACATTGATATTTACCCACATTAGCTTGGACACATACAATACAGACAGGAGTGTAAAACACAACAAAATGTTTTTTTTTCACCTTTCCACTACATAAACTTCAAAGCGCGGCACAAGAAACAGTCCAAACTTTTAAGAGTAGAAAGCAAATTGATAAAAATGAACGAACAACTGTCGAAGAAACTCTGTCCTTCCCGCTCCGTTTGCCGCCGTTGCCAACGAAAGCGCGAACGTCATTGCGTCATTACGCACCGAACGTCGATTTGGTCTGAGCACTTATGGGTAATGTAGTTCCCAGAAAACATTTCCTCCCATTGGTTTCCGTTGGTAGGGAACAAAACTACAGCAAAACATTTCACTGTTCTAAATGTTATTTATGTGATTTTTTTGTCCAAAAAACCCTATAGAATAATTATACAATAATAATGAAATAATCACATTTGATAATGGCTGTGCAACAATGGCTATTTTTTTAAATTACTCACCCCATCTAAAATACATGAGTGTGATACATCCAAAATTGTAACTCCTTCCGCCAGCACACATTAAAATATAACCAAATACAATGTTGACTTTAACTGACACAACAATTAAGAACTTGATAAATACAGTACATTATCACAAGAATTCATACCCAGAGACAAGACAGTTTAAATAACAATGCCAGTTTTAACGCCCCCCCACCCCCACCCACAAAAAAAAAAAAAAAAAAAAAAACACACACTACCTGCAATTTCAAATC